ATATAAAGAAAATATAACTAGAAAAAATTCCACGCAGACCAGGCAGCAGACGGGACTCGAACCCGCACCCTTCGCAATCCGGGCGAATGCACTGACCAATTATGCCTCAGCGGCCCTCAAGGTCCGCGTTGAAATTCTTCTAGCCACTCTTAAGCTGCAAGGCAGCGCCATCTCTTCGCATTATAGGTAACCCACAATGTCAAATGAATACTTTTACAAGTATTAAACATTTGAAAGAAGAAATAAAAACATATCCTAAAATATGTTTTTTTCTGTTATACAATTTTTTAAGTATTTACCTCCCGTGCTAGTTAAAAACTGTGCTACGGAGAAGTAATTATTCTGAATTATTTCGGCCAAAAACGTATTAATACAATCTTTAATATAATTTAAGCACTTAAATACTAGAATTTTGTGTGTATGTACACTAAATTTCTTACTTTTTTTTTTGTTACGGGTAGACAGTTAAGCTTTGATACACAAAAAAATGGGTACTATTCCAACGGTTACCACAGTATATTTTAAAAATACAGATACTTTTTCACTTCGTAGTAGTGGCAAACTAAAAAAAGGCCTAGGCTAACTACACACATCAAAAGTGTCTAGGGATCAACATATATTTTTGCAATAACTTTTCTCCTGATTGATATTAATTAAAATTTTCTTTAAGGATTCATCAAATAAAGTGTTTTCGTTTGTCACAGTAACGATAAACCAAGTCACCTTTGCATTAATAAAGAAATTTGCCATTTTCCTAATAAAGGGATTTTTGACATTTGAACCACTAACACAAAAGTTCGAAAAAAAGACTGAAATAACGGTTTTCTCTAAAATTTTATTGGGTAACTTAAACAATTAATAATCCGTATTTCTACCGCGAACACTAACAACACAAGAACATCGGTTTGGCATACTCAAAATGAGTTCATCCAAATCACGCTGTGGAATGGCCGCCCATGTTCGTTGCAACAACAAAAAAAGGTCTTCTTGCGACTGGATACCCTCCATATTCGGCAGAGCTCTTCTCTGTAGCATATCCCATGCATGCTCAATCGGGTTCAAGTCTGGCGACTGAGCAGGCCAGGGCAGGACATTGATGTTAGCTGCGGCGAGAGTCTGTCTTACAACTCTTGCGGTGTGCGGTCGTGCATTATCATGCATTAACTGAAATAAGGGACCGATTTGCACTTGTAGAGGAACGATGACGTCTGATACAATCGTCTCAGCATAAATTTGAGCGTTGAGGTTGCCTCTGATCCAAATCAACTCAGTTCTTCCGCCGATCCAAATACCCGCCCATACCATGATGGTTCCACCACTATAAGGATGGACTTCCTGGCAGGATTTTAATCGCTGTTGGCGTCCAGGGGTTCTCCAGTGTCGTATACGTCTTGTATCCGGTCTCCTACCAAAACGAGACTCATCAGAAAAGCACACGAAACGCCATTGTTCTTCTGCCCAATTTCTGTGTTCAAGAGCCCATTGATATCGAATCCTACGATTGTGCATTGCTATAGGTGGTACCCGTAGCGGTCTTCGGGAATGAAGGTTCACTTCATGCAAGCGGTTTCTGACTGTTTGGTCGCTAATTAAGTTCCCTGAAGAGTGATGAAGCCTCACGGCTAACATCATGGCGGTTATTGTTGGAGCTCTTCGAGTTAAGATTTGAATGTATCGGTCTTGTCTCCGTGTGGTGCAGCGATACCGTCCTCCATGGCGCTCAGCCACGGTACCAGTGCTTCGGTATCGTGTCCAAAGTCGACTGATAACACTCTGACTTGTATTCAGAGCTAAAGCCACAGTACGTTGCCGGGAACCAGCTTCTATCATTCCCACGGCTCTGAGCATTTCTTCCCTGCTTAAATGACGTCGCCGCTCCATAATAACGTTGGTTTTAATCAGTAGTAGGGAAACAGTAGCACTAATAATGTCTTCAATGCGTTGTATGTTTTTATAGGGAAAATATTGACAGCTGATTTTCATCTTTTACTCGAATTTGATTCACAGTTCCTGATTCAAATTATGAAATGCACCAAAAAGGATCCATATAAATTTATAAAATCATAAATTTATTACAAAGCCACATCTCAATCTCAAGAAATCCGCATAAAAATGCTTGATCCCTAGACACTTTTGATGTGTGTATTAATAAAGATACTATTAATAATCCTAAATATGAATGACTATATATATTGAAGTCTATATATTTTAGTTATTGATATATATATAGCAGTGGACACATTAATAGGGTGATTACGAGTATGTTATCTAGTAGTATATACAGGGTGTAAAAAAACCTTTGACAAAGACTTAAACTAAGCATTCTGTACATCCAAACAAAGTCACATTACAAAATATTAAAGGTGGGAAAAAATATATTTTTAAGTTAAAAAAAAACCTTTTTTTTCAGTACGCAATGTATAGCGCGGCGCGCTACTGTGGCGCTACGCAAAGAATGTGCCTGTGTGTATGTGTGTGCGTGTGTCTAAGTGCGTCGATAAAAAGTTTCCAAATAACCTTTTGAAAATATTAATGTATAAATCATGAAAAAAATATTTTGGCTTTGACCTTCAATAACTCCATAACCATAAATTTCCCAGGTATGGTCCAGAAGAAGAAAAAATATCGTCATGATGTGGAAAATACATGGCCTTCGACTTCGTTATAGTTTTTTTTTTACATCCTGTATAGAATCTAAAGAAAAGTTTACTAGAAAAAAATAAATAGAAAAAAATATTCATTTTTCAATATTCATTTGAACGATCTTCCGCCGCCTATACGTGATCTGCAAACAGTGTACACATTTAGACGCCATCTCAAAAAATATTTTATGAACCTGCAATTAACAGGAAATAATTAAACTCACTTTCTGGATATTCGCGGTGATCAATCTTTGTCGGTGAAGACGCTCCGGCATTCTGCGAGCGGTTTTTCGGGTCACGGATTGTAAAATTGTCTCGTAAATATTGCCGATTGTACAGTGTCTTTCTCGGCCTTATTTATAATGCACGGTGTAGGGTAATTTTATGATGCTGTGCCACGTTGTTAAATGGTCCGATGACGTGGCTTTTATTACGTGTCGTCTTACCTTCATTTTGTTCTTATTTATTTCTTACAACATTTCTTAGGTTATGGTTTTGTCTTTTTATTTTTTTTTCTCTCTCTTATTTTGGTATCCAAATTTTCATAGGCAAAGAGCCGAGCGAGCCCACACAGCCTCTTGTGTTATTATTATTTTTCATTTTTTGTTTTGTGCTGGACTGCTATAGGCGAGGGATACGAGGTACAGATTGTTTTTTGTTTTTGTTTTATGTATTAAGTGACTGTCTTGTATTTCCGTCCGTGGATGTCCAAATTAGGTCCCTCCAGAATATCAGCGTTGCAGCGGCAATCCATTTTTTGCCGTTGCAACATTATGCTGAGGTGGGGCCTAGTTGACGATGTACCTTTTGTTTCATGTTTGTTGTGTATTTATTGTAATTGTCAATGTATGTCGTCAATAAATGTTTTTATTTCTTTCTTTCATTTGACAGTGTGGGTTACCTACAATGCGAAGAGATGGCGCTGCCTTGCAGATTAAGGCTAGGAAAAATTCGACGCGGCTAATAGGGCCGTGGTAGCATAATGGTCAGTGCATTCGCCCGGATAGCGAAGGATGCGGGTTCGAGTCCCGTCCGCTGCCTGGTCCGCGTGGATTTTTTTCTAGTAAACTTTTCTTTAGATTGAATCATCTAGCAGTTAAATGCTTACAAAATAAATAAAATCATATCCTGTATAGAAGTCATAGAACAGTGCAATTTACTGTTATATACTTACGTTCATCGTCATCAAGGGAAGGTTGCGCAGGCGCAGCGGGCAACAGTCTCGCGCGCGGCGACTGGCACATATCGCACGAGGCTGCATAGTTTTTTTTACATTCCGTATAGAAGTCATAGAACAGCGCAATTTACTGTTATATACTTACGTTCATCGTCATCAAGGGACGGTTGCGCAGGCGCAGCGGGCAACAGTCTCGCGCGCGGCGACTGGCACATATCGCACGAGGCTGCATAGTTTTTTTTACATTCCGTATAGAAGTCATAGAACAGCGCAATTTACTGTTATATACTTACGTTCATCGTCATCAAGGGACGGTTGCGCAGGCGCAGCGGGCAACAGTCTCGCGCGCGGCGACTGGCACATATCGCACGAGGCTGCATAGTTTTTTTTACATTCCGTATAGAAGTCATAGAACAGCGCAATTTACTGTTATATACTTACGTTCATCGTCATCAAGGGACGGTTGCGCAGGCGCAGCGGGCAACAGTCTCGCGCGCGGCGACTGGCACATATCGCACGAGGCTGCATAGTTTTTTTTACATTCCGTATAGAAGTCATAGAACAGCGCAATTTACTGTTATATACTTACGTTCATCGTCATCAAGGGACGGTTGCGCAGGCGCAGCGGGCAACAGTCTCGCGCGCGGCGACTGGCACATATCGCACGAGGCTGCATAGTTTTTTTTACATTCCGTATAGAAGTCATAGAACAGCGCAATTTACTGTTATATACTTACGTTCATCGTCATCAAGGGACGGTTGCGCAGGCGCAGCGGGCAACAGTCTCGCGCGCGGCGACTGGCACATATCGCACGAGGCTGCATAGTTTTTTTTACATTCCGTATAGAAGTCATAGAACAGCGCAATTTACTGTTATATACTTACGTTCATCGTCATCAAGGGACGGTTGCGCAGGCGCAGCGGGCAACAGTCTCGCGCGCGGCGACTGGCACATATCGCACGAGGCTGCATAGTTTTTTTTACATTCCGTATAGAAGTCATAGAACAGCGCAATTTACTGTTATATACTTACGTTCATCGTCATCAAGGGACGGTTGCGCAGGCGCAGCGGGCAACAGTCTCGCGCGCGGCGACTGGCACATATCGCACGAGGCTGCATAGTTTTTTTTACATTCCGTATAGAAGTCATAGAACAGCGCAATTTACTGTTATATACTTACGTTCATCGTCATCAAGGGACGGTTGCGCAGGCGCAGCGGGCAACAGTCTCGCGCGCGGCGACTGGCACATATCGCACGAGGCTGCGCACGCGCCGTTCATGTACGTACACTCGGAACACGGCCATTCCGTAGCTTCCGGCCTAACGGGACGATATAGAGAACGACTTAAAACTAGGGCTTGTTTACCGGTTACTTTTCAAACCTAAATCAGTGTCAAGTACATTAGGAGCGTTTTATTTAGGTTTGGCTCTAACTTAACCTTAAAAATTCGGTTTACCTAAAGAGCGAAATCAAATAGGTTTTGAATCAATGTAGCGGTTTTTAAAGGGTTTCATTACGCTCTTTCTGACGGCATCGATAATAAATGAACAACTTGACTCACTAGATGCTAGCAATCGTGTCAATGAATGCATCAATCTCTGAGCATTAACAAATTGTGACTTGATTAGTTCAAACAAAACAAACCTTAAGTGATGCCGACGCGTGCCCTGCTTGAAACACTAATGTTCGTACAGGGCTTGAAATCGGTTTCGAAAATACCGGTAAATAAAGGTTAATACTGGTTTTTAGTAAAGGTTTCGTTCGGAGCGCGTCCGAAATGAAAGCGGTACCTAAAACCTTAATAAACCGGTTTAATCCACAGCGACACGTGCACGCGTCGGCATCGCTTGACGTTTGTTTTGTTTGAACTAATCAAATCACAACTTGTTAATGCAGAGAGATTGGTGCATTTATTGACACGTTTGCTAGCGTCTAGTGAGTCAAGTTATTTATTTATTATCGATGCCATCAGAAAGAGCGAAATGAAACCCTTTAAAAACCGCTAAATTGATTCAAAACCTATTTGATTTCGCTCTTTAGGAAAACCGGTTTTTTAAGGTTAAGGTAGAGCCAAAACTAAATAAAACGCTCCTAATGTACTTAACACTGATTTAGGTTTGAAAATGAACCGGTAAAGAAGCCCTGGTTCGTATCAATATGATTGTTATTCAATGACTCCTAACGAATTCGGATGAAATTTGGCACACATATAGTTTATTACCTGGATCAAAACAAATGATTTGACTTTTTGTACCTTAAAAAAGCACGGTTCCTGTGGGATTCTCAAAAAAACTAACTACAACTCGAACGAAGTTGTAGGCGAAAGAGATAGTGACTCGTAAATCTATTGGAATAAAGCTCAAAATCAACTGGAGAAATTTCACAGTCTTGGGTAACTTTCCAATCACCCAATCCAACTATCACTTTATCGTGTTACAACTACGCTTTACTATATCGTCACGAAATGACGAAATGTTCGGTTAAAAACTGTGCAAACTACAGCACATTCACGTAATCTATTATATTATAGCGCGCACATTAGACTCAGCTGACAATATGCAATAACAAATTGTTCGGTTAAAGACTGCAAATGACAGCAGATTAACGTGGAATATATTTTACTAGCAAACCAGTGAACCAAATGTTCACCAAAACCTGATTAAAAAAAATGTATTTAATTAATTGAGAACTTCGGAGATTTTGTGTGGTTTAGTTTGAAATTATTTAGTTAAAAAAAAAATTAACCTTTAAATAGTTAATTAAAATTGTGATAATTACAAAATAGAAATCACGTGATTTCTCGAAAACCGGAAGTGCTACGTTACTCAAATCCGGTTTGTAGTCTTATCAGACTATTCATAACTTATAACTTAAACATTCTCTTTATCTATCTCTTACGGTTTGGCCGCTGAAACAGCACCACAGACAGACGGACGGGCAGACTTGTCTAATAGATAAGAGATTATAGCACGTATATTAAACGCAGCGGGAAACAGTCTGCATGCGCCGTTCATGTATGTACAGTCGGAACAAGCCTATTACGTGGCTTTCGGCCTAACGGAACGAAACAAAGAACTTGTTAAAGCATTAACGTACATACTTATATCCTACTATAACATACAATCCTTGTAATACTACTAGCGGCCGCCCGCGACTACATCGATTTTTTGAGAATCCCACAGGAACCTATCATTTTTCCGGGATGAAAAGTATCCTACGTCTGAATCCAGGTCATAAACTATATGAGTACCAAATTTGTTCCGAATACGTTCAGGCGTTTTTGCGTGATTGAATAGCAAACTTACAAACACACAAACATACAAAGTTTCACATTTATAATATTAATAAGAGAAGGATGTGAATGTTTGTATGTTTGTTACTCAGTCACGCTTAAACGTGCCAGGTGGCATAATAATGCATTAGAAATTATGTACATTCACTTAATAAAATAATTACTAAACCAAGTATGGTTTAGTTTAATCCATGATAGTAATCATACTTAGCGGAGAAAACTTATGATATAAACTAATAATAATGATTATTTTTTTTCTCTCACAGTAACAAAGTAACATTATAATTAAGTAAAAGGGTATTGAATTGCAATAACATTAAAAACAATGCAGTTCTTAGAGAGAGCTGGTGTTTGTACTAGGTTTCGCCAATTCTCGGCTTGAGGTCCCCTTAGGATCTCGCCGTCCCCAAACCCGGTGACGCTGTAAAGGTCATCTGCGACCAACAGCATACACACTCAAAAAAATGGTTGCCTGTAAAGTCGGTTTTACGGGCGAAGATTTTACGTGACAACGTCTTTTTCTCGGTAGAATATTTATTGATATGAATATAATTAAATTGCACAATAGGAACAAGGAATTGAATGAAAATAAGAATTGCACAAATTTTAACTATAGAAATATATTTTGTTTACTAAAACATTGTACATGTAAACTTAAACTTAACACGAGAGACTCATCGTAACGTTACCGAGCGTTACACTTTTTCATAAGTGACTCCCAGCCGCAACCTAATTTAAGACGTTGTCACGTCAAAAAAAACGTACTAGGTTACAAAACCTGTGTTACGACCCTCAGGCTCAAATCCTCTTAAACCCCGTTTGCTAGTGATTCTTTTGCATAATACAATAGGGTATTTGACAAGTTTTAGGCAACAATCTCATGTTACTGATTAATGTTTATGGTGTCCGTAAAAAGTGGATACCCATCATTCTGTTGTGTATTTCAGTAAAAATAACCAAATCAAAAACTCCATTTTCAAGTTGCCGCGAAAACGATTTTCTGGACAATATGGCGTCTTACTAGTGTGTGACATAACACGGCTGTTATTAAAACGTCAAACGATACAATGTAATGTCACATTAACCGGAAGTTTACTTGCGTGTGACGTCATTTTAGGCTCCGCCAATCCCAAGCGTTTTGGGTCACGTGACAATAGATAAGAAAACTATTATCTTTTTCGTGGGTTTTTAGAAAAATTATGAATATTTTGTTTTTTAAAATAGTAAAAACGCCTGCCAGTATTCATTCTAAACACAGATGCTAACAATAGGCACTTTATTTTTAATACTGTCAAATACCCTATTTTTTATCATGATTAAGTATACTAACAGTAGACAAGATTATAAAATGGAACTCTTTGACAGGACCAATAAGGACAAATAGAAAATTATGAATTCATAAAATTACTTACTTAGGTTCAGGCGGTGGAGTTTTGTGTCTAGCTGCACGTCTAGGCAGAGCTGGCGTATGCCTGGAACTTCTTCTAGGGGAAGGACTGCGACCTAAAAAGGACATTCTTTTAATTGCGGCCAAAAAAAACTAAAATTGCTGGAACTGAACGTCAGGATTAAAAAAAAAAGTTTTTAATAATAATTTGTAATAAAACTTTAATTTTTACATGACAAATAATATTTATCAGCCAATAGGGATGATGACTATTTTTTTTTTCTTCGTTTATCAGGTAGATTATCAAAAAGTATAGTTATTAGTGTATTAATATTTTTTCTTTTTTCACATAATATAAACATTGCAGAGATATATTGATTTGAAAAGTCGCATGACGTCACATTTGAGTACACTTATAAGTGAAAATTCACTCAAAAGTGACGTCACGAGCCCCTACTCCCAAACTTTGACGCGCTATAACTTTGTCATTTTTGGTTGATTGCCCAAAGAAAAAATGCGTGTCCATTATTTTTTGATCATCTAACTGACGGACTTAATAGAATTTCGTTTACTGTACCCTGTCATCACCCCCATTGAGAGGGTAGGGGATTGCATCAGGGTAGGCAACGGTGCGAGTGATATTTATGGTATCGCAAGCGTCTATAGGCTATGGTGGCCGCTTACTATCAGGCGAGCCATACGCTAGTTTGACACCCTTTTAACATTAAAAAAAAACTGTGAAAATACAAACATTTTCACCTCTATAAACATCAATTGAATCGTAATGCAGCTGCGTGTGACAGACACGCAAGTTCAATTTTTAGATGGGGACATCCTATCCCAAAAGTTCATCCCGACACATCATTGTGTTAAAAACAGATAACAACTATCAGTACAATGCGATTCAACTAAGAATAGGACCGACTGAGCGCCATATTCTGACGTCATAGCTGTCAATTCAAACCAAATGGGAAGAGTGAGCAAAAAACGTTGCTATTTAAGAAAACTTATTTACTAAGATTAAGTGAGACAAAACATCAGATTTTTTTATAAAATTAATTTACTAAGATTGAGAATAACACAACCGATTTTTAATAGTATTTCTTTATTAAGACTGTGTCAAAAAAAACATTATCAGAATCTAGCTTTACAATTTCGCTCATCTCTGCATTACCGCCGGAGAAGTTATGAATAATCATGCAGGTCACATACGAACATGCAACCTATATGTAAACGAAAGTTTTAAATCGAGTTTTTGAACGCAACATAAAGTGACATTTGGTTGACGATTTAGGTTATCAACCATTCATAGCCAAAGCTCTATAAATGAAAAAAAAAACAACTAATATTAATTATCAAAATTTGTTATTGTTTGTTTAAAAATGTTTGGTTTTTATTCTAGAATCAGCTGAGTGCTAAAAAAGTGTTCTGCGATTTTTTTGCAAACCGTACTTTTTAAGCGACATTTGACAGATGGAAGTCATTGGCTTTCTTATTCTTATTTGAATCGCATTATAGGTAGCACCTACTTTATTTTTCACTAGCGGCTTCGAACGCGTGGAGTTAGTTAGAAATAAAGGTTCACTGCTCGTTCCCCGTAGGTGAAAGCGTGATAATATGTAGTCTATATGTTTACCCGACTTCTTAATAATATTCGTGCCTAACTTGAAGTAAATCCATCCAGGACATACATACAGACAAACAGGCAAAAATTCTAAAAACTATATTTTTGACTTCGGTATCGATTGTAGATCACGCCCCAAGTATTCTTTTAAAAAAAATATTCAATGTACAGTTTTGACTTTCCTACCATCTATCTATATATATAAAACTCAAAGGTTACTGACTGACATAGTGATCTATCAACGCACAGCCCAAACCACTGGACGGATCGGGCTGAAATTTGGCATGCAGGTAGATGTTATGACGTTGGCATCCGCTACGAGGACTTTGATCAATTCTACCCCCAAAAGAATAAAATAGGGAATGAAAGTTTGTATGAAACTTTGTCAATTTTAAACCGATCGGGCTGAGACTTTGCATGCAAGTATAAGAAGAATCATAGATGAATGTCATTGTGTATAATACAAGCCTGAGAACAAAAACTGTAGTCTACACTTCAGCTCTACACCGAAGCGTAGCGAGGGCGGGCCGATAGTTTTATTATATGTATGGATGCTATCAAATATCCGTACCAGCTGCAGCCCTTTGATTTTCGGTTGAAGACCCTGGAACCCCGTGCTTGGGTACCGGGGGAGTCTTGCAAGCGAGGCAAAGGTTCGCTGACAACGGGTTCCTTAACGTGCAAGAACTGCAAGACCTATAAATATAAAGTTACATTGAATATAAGTTATATTATGGCAATGACATTTATATTTAATTATTCAAAATACCATGCGTTTATCACGAACACAATGGTTAGAAGTATACTCTTCGTCTCAATCTTAACTCACACTGGCACAGAATCGAAACGACGCGACGACACATTCATCTTTATTTTCCCACTAGTAAAGTACAAAGGACAATGGGCAAAACACACCCATCTCCGCCAACAATGTAATTAGTATGAATCGATAGATCTATGAAAAACTAGCCTTTTTTATTATGACACCGAAAATAAATATCCTGGGAGTCAAAAGATATGACACATGGGCATATTTAAGTAACTAAATAAATTCATTTCATAGTACCTTTATTTTATATTATAAGTAACCATAATAATATCCTATATCGTACTATACAACCAGATATACGACAAAGCCTGCCGTTCCATCCAGAGCTTGCACTTACTGAGCCACCTCAAAGCGGTTTACGGGGGTTGAAGGACTTGCAGTTGCAAATAGTGGACTCGTCTTACTTCGTTGTGATTATGCGCTCCCGGTCACTTGATTGATTTTTATCTAACACGCTTTGGACATTGGAACACAATTATCGGTTGTTGTGAAGTGCTTCCATAATATCTGAGCCCCCAATGTAGTGTCGAACTAAATAAATTAATTCCCTTGTTTCATTCATTAATGTTCGTTCGTCATAGTACTTGTACCCATTTAACTTAAAATAAGTAAAGACTACCGGGATGGAATTTGATGTGCTTTGGCACAAATGATCGTGACTATAATACCTTTCAAACAATTGTAGTTTAAGCCGTGGCGGACGTGGGTGCAGCGTCCATACATTTTTGCCCAATGTCCTTTGCGTTATTAAAATATGGAATCGCGCGTCGGCGCTTGCTTAAAGTCGTCGCTATGCGTTACTCGCGCTCGCTTAAGGGTTAAACACCAACCGACCAATTATCGTATTTATTTCCGCTTTAGCTTCTGATATAATTTCATTTTCATTGCAAACTGACGAGCAGGGCTTGTTAACCGGTTAATTTTCAAACCTAAATCAGTATCAAGTACATTAGGAGCGTTTTATTTAGGTTTGGCTCTACCTTAACTTTAAAAATACCGGTTTTCCTAAAAAGCGAAAATAAATAGGTTTTGAATCAATTTAGCGGTTTTTAAAGGGTTTCATTTCGCTCTTACTGACGGCATCGCCTTCGCCGTTTCAATTCAAATTTATAATGATTTTCTGTCAGTTTCTTTCCAACTACAGAGCGAGTGAGTGAAGTAGTGTGTCAGTACCCAACTACAAAATGAATAACTTGACTCACTAGACGCCAGCAAACGTGTCAATAAATGCATCAATCTCTGAGCATTAACAAGTTGTGACTTGATTAGTTCAAACAAAACAAACTTCAGGTGATGCCGACGCGTGCACGTGTCACTCTGGATTAAACCAGTCTATTAAGGTTTTAGGTACCTCTTTCATTTCGGACGCGCTCCGAACGAAACCTTTACTAAAAACCGGTATTAACCTTTATTTACCGGTATTTTCGAAAACGGTTACAAGCCCTGCTGACGAGCACAAGAACCCATCATGAATATTCAAAAGTTTTTGAACTTGACGCGCGACGACGCGCATAACCACGCGATGTAGTTGTAAAACAGGACGCGGCATGACGCTTCGACTCTGTGACAGAAAACCTACAAATTTTAAAATACAAAAACGAGAGTTGACGACCTCCTTGGCCGAGTGGTTTGTACGCCGGGTTTCATGGTGTCGCCGACTCGATAGGTCCCAGGTTCGAATCCCGGTGGAGGCAGATTGTTTGTGTAATGAATACGAGCATTATGTACTCCAATCATTAATGTTAAATATGTATTTCTATATAAACATACTTATATATGTACAGTATATGTATTCTATCCGTTACCCTAGTATGCCATAACACAAGCCTTATTGCTTACTTTGGGGCTAGGCTAATTGATGTGAGTGTTGAAAATATTTAGTTATATTTATTTATATTTTATTTATAGAGTCGGAGCTCGGTGGCGCGTTCAATCTGCATTCAAAATTCAATATCGTTTATTCAGTCTAGGCTGTTACAAGCACTTGTGAATGTCGAAAAGCTACGCCATCGGTTCGCAAATCTAAGGCGGGAGACCTTGTACTGAGAAGAACCGGCAAGAAACTCAGCAAGGGCTGTTTTTTTTCTACCTGTATTATATACAGAGTCGTCAAATTGAAAAATGACTTCAATATGATGTAACTTATCGCTGCGATCGTGAAAGTCTAGTTCCTCGGTGCTTAAGCTGTTGGTCGTAAAGTTTGCAGTCGGTAGCACTCACCAATATGCACAGGGCCCGTGCGATATATCATGGCCCACTTTCTTCCTATTTCATCCATTGGAAAGGCATTTCATGGGGCCGTTCAAGTATAACGTAAGCAGATTTATTACAATTGTTTACCCCCTCCTCCCCCTTGTCAGCAAAAGTAAGCAAAGCTCTTCCCCCCCCCCTATGCTTACGTAAACATTGGTACCTGTATGCATTTTTCCTTTAATGTATTCTGTTTTTAGTGTTTCCTCCTTATGAATCGATTTGCATATATAAGGGGCCCGGTATGAGAAAAATGTGAGGAGTAAAATCTATCGATGAATGACCTCGTTACGTTTTTGGTGCGCATCCTATGTCGCGCAACTTTGACAAACAAAGATGACGGATTGACATTAATAAAAATTTTAAAATCTGAAATGAATTTAGATATTGTTACTGATGTATTTTCAAGATTCGTGAACCACGTATCTACGAACGTTCATGTGTCTTATTTTAGTTACCATAAACCACTTGTCACTGTAATTAATAATGCAGACAATGTTGATTTAATTAATATTTAAAAAAATGATAATAGTCTGATAATAATAATTACATAATTTATCAACATTCCTAATCATATATTTATGCACATCTGAAATTGACTATTGTAAAAAGTTTAATGTAAAATATTTCGTCGATTAGTTATAATAAATGTATATGAAATGAATAAATATATGTTAATTTACCCTTTCATACAGTATCAATCTTTTTTAAGTTAAATAAACTCTTTTTGCGTCTGGTTAGACCATCGAACTTAAGGAGTAAAAACTCCAGTCGTGCGTCGGAGCTGACACACACAATTTTTTTTTCCTTTAATGTATTCTGTTTTTTGTTACTGATTCATGAGCATCATGAGCTGCAGTACTTAAATAGGCTTAGGATAGAGCACTTTAACGCACATAATATTAATTATTCAACATAGAAAAAGGTACAAATATTATAATCTTATTAGGCACTATTACGAACTAAACAAACTTCTTTCGAATTTTTGGTATATATATATATATATATATATATATATATATAATTAATTTTCCAATTAATTAATTCCAATTAACAGTCTTCAGCCCATGGCACCCGAATCCATGATGCTGACGTGATGACTATCTCGACCCCCCACCCCCCCATGTCATCAAAAATAAGCAAAGCGAAGACCCCCCCTGCCCCCCTATAGTGCATACGTAATACTTGAACCGTGCCGTGTAGTGCCGGGTGCCGTGTAGTGCCGGCCTAGAATAGAATAGCACTACCCCCTCTTATCCCGTGGGTGTCGTAAGAGGCGACTAAGGGAAACTTCACCTAAGGAGATGGGCAGCAGCATCTCCTTATGCGAACCGGTATACTGCGATCGCCAACCCGCCTGCCAAGCGTGGCGATTATGGCAAAACCCCCCCCATATGAATCGAAACAACACAGCACGGCCCCTAGTCTCCGGCGGCCCCGCTATTCCTGGCTACGGTGGCGGCCACGGTAACGGCGGGGCAGGGGGTGCGAAGAATCCCCGGGTAAGACACGGCTACCACAACAACCGATTACTGGCCCTGGCAACCTACAACACGCGCACACTGAGGACCGATGCCAAGATGATAGAGCTGGAAGAAGCTATCAGCAAGTTACACTGGGACGTCATCGGGTTATCTGAAGTCCGAAGAGAGGGAGAGGACACGATAACTCTGGACTCCGGTAACTTGCTGTACTTCCGGGAGGGCGACCAACAGTCCATAGGTGGTGTCGGGTTTATCGTCCACAAGTCCCTCGTCAACAACGTGCTGACCATCGGTAGTGTTTCGAGTAGAGTAGCGTACTTGGTACTCAGAATATCATCACGATATTCGATGACTGTCATCCAAGTCTACGCTCCAACGTCGAAACACACCGATGACGAAGTGGAGACTATGTATGAGGAGATCTCTCGGGCCATGCATAGCCACAAAACCCACTACACGATTGTGATGGGGGATTTCAATGCAAAGTTGGGGAAACGTTGCGGCGACGAGCTGAGAGTGGGGCAATTTGGATTTGGGGAACGGAACGATAGGGGCCAGATGCTGGCGGACTTTGTGGAGAGGGAGAACCTCTATATGATGAACTCCTTCTTCAGAAAGCCCGTCACCCGCAAATGGACCTGGATAAGTCCCGACGGCAAGGTCAAAAATGAGATTGATTTTATCATGTCGACGAAGAAGCAAATATTCCATGATGTCTCAGTGATCAACGCTGTTAAGACAGGAAGCGATCACCGCATGGTAAGAGGCACATTGAATATCAACGTTAAGCTTGAAAAATCGCGACTGATAAAATCAACGCTCCGACTGGTGCCAGCCCAAATTCAAACCCCGAGCGCTTTCAGCTCGAGCTCCAGAATCGCTTCGAGTACCTTGAGAACAGCATAGACGTGGACGATCTGAACGACCTGGTGGTGGATACTGTCCGTACGGTAGGGACTAAACACTTTAAAACCCGCCGTACCAAATTAAAGAAACTCTCCGCATACACACTCGAACTCATGGATAGGAGACATGAAATGAGGCTACAGTACTCAGCGGATGCCCTTCGTTATAGACAGCTTAATAGACAGATCTCGAAGTCGTTGACGAGCGACCTTCGCCACTTTAATACCGAGCGTATTAAAGAGGCCATAGAGCGGAACAAAGGCTCTAAAGTGTTCGCTAGAGATCTGTCTATTGGGCAAAGTCAACTGAAGAGGCTGAAAACTGAGGACGGTAGTATCATTTCATCGACTCCTGAAATCCTGAGGGAGATTGAGAGTTTCTATAGGCAGTTATATTCCAGCAGAACACCAGGCGAAAGCAGAGCTCGAGATCCTAGAGCCAAGCTTACCCGACATTATAATAATAATAATAATAATAATAATTTATTCCCAAATTTTTTATACAATATGGTTTTACAAATAACAGGCACAGGATATTTTAAAACTAAGGATCTGTGGGTACTTAAAATAGGAAAACCCTGTGACTTAAGTACCCACTCTCTTCCAGTGACACAATAAAGTAAATTTACAAGATACCACATTGATTAGAAAATATGATTTTAAATGAAAAACGAAAATTTAAGTTACATTAACAAACAAAAAAAAAACTTTTTTAACAAGAATTAGAACCAACATTTAGTTTTATTTTGTAAATAATTTTCATGCAAGACGAGTAAGGAATCAAGTCATGTGTAGTAACATCTTCTCAGTTTCTTCATAAGTCAGTGCAAGAAGAAATTGAGTGAGTATGCGTTTTAGATTACAATAATTTAGTGAATATATATTCAACCTCCGGTTTACATTATTATAAATAAAAGGACCTAGAAAAAGTAGAAATCATTTGCTAAAAGATTTATTAAATAGTTTACTCTTGAAAATCAATTTGTTGCGACGAACCTCTCTTTTATAAGGATCTAAAGGTAGTTTGGAATGTTGGTGTATTAATGTATATAAGATGAATAATTTACGTACTGATAAAACTTCGCAGAATGAGTATAAGGCATCGGTAGGAAACAGAAACGGCTTGAATGTAGCTACTTTTAGAACTGCGCGTTGGGCACGCTCCAGTGGGAGTATAGTTGTCTTAGGAACGCCACCCCAGGATGTAATGCAATACAGAATCAAGGATTGACAAAGAGAGAAGTAAATGGATTTGAGGAGTGATGAATCAGTTACTGTCCTAAGTGACTTGAAAATATAGATCAGTTTGCGAATTCTTGCAGCAAGGACATTGATATGGAGTTTAAAAGATAAATTGCTGTCCAGCAAAACTCCAAGATATTTAATTTCATTAACTCGCTCGATGGACGAACAACAGCAAGAGTTTGTACCCCAACAGGTATGTGCAGTAATTGATAGAGATTCCTCACTTGGCAGATCAACCGTTCTTATAGAGTGAATGATATATTTGGTCTTCTGAACATTAAGTGTGAGACGGTTATTGTTTAGCCATTCGCAAACCATATCAAATCCAGATTGTGCATTTAGAAAGACATCACGCCAAGAGTCACTAGAAAAGAAGAGAACAGTGTCATCCGCAAAGGAAAGAAGAGAGCAATTTGGAATATTAAGGGTGCAAAGATCATTCGCATAATTATACCGAGGATATCCCGGACGTGAGCCTGTACGAGATTAGAATTGCCCTCAAACAGCTTAAAAACAACAAGGCGGCGGGAGATGACGGAATCACAACAGAGCTTTTGAGAGCGGGCGGTACGCCGGTACTTAAAGTCCTCCAGAAGCTCTTCAACTCCATCATCCACCAGGGCAAAACGCCGAAGGCATGGAGCAGAAGCGAGGTGATTTTGTTCTTCAAAAAGGGCGATAAGACCCTACTGAAGAACTACAGACCCATCTCGCTTCTGAGCCATATCTACAAGCTGTTCTCGAGGGTCATTACGAATCGTCTCGCTCGCAGGCTCGACGACTTCCAGCCTCCCGAACAAGCCGGCTTCCGAAAAGGCTTTAGTACCATAGACCACATCCATACGCTGCGGCAGATTATACAGAAGACCGAAGAGTATAATCGGCCACTTTGCTTAGCGTTTGTGGACTATGAGAAGGCCTTCGATTCGATCGAGACCTGGGCGGTGCTGCAGTCTCTCCAGAGGTGCCAAGTGGACTACAGGTATATCGAAGTGTTAAAGTACCTATACCAAAACGCAGAGCTCTAATCCTCTCCAACTACAGCGAGGGGTGAGACAGGGAGACGTTATATCTCCGAAACTGTTCACTGCTGCGATGGAGGATATTTTCAAGCTTCTGGACTGGAAAGGACTCGGCATTAACATCAACGACGAGTACCTGACACACCTTCGATTTGCCGATGACGTAGTCCTAATAGCAGAGACCTTGGAAGACCTGAACACCATGCTCGAGCATCTCAGTGACGCATCCCAGCGAGTGGGTCTTAAGATGAACATGGACAAGACGAAAATCATGTCCAACGCCCATGTTGCACCCGCTCCAGTTAATGTTGGGAACGTTACACTTGAAGTTGTTGACCACTACGTTTACCTAGGACACACAATCCAGTTAGGTAAGTCCAACTTCGAGAAAGAGATCTCTCGTCGAATCCAACTCGGATGGGCAGCGTTCGGGAAGCTGCAGAACATCTTCGCGTCCAAAATACCTCAGTGCCTTAAGACGAAAGTCTTTAACCAGTGTGTGTTGCCAGTGATGACCTATGGCAGTGAGGCGTGGTCGTTTACTATGGGTCTCATAGGACGGCTCAAGGTCGCCCAGCGGGCAATGGAGAGAGCTATGCTTGGTGTTTCCCTGCGTGATCGAGTCAGAAATGACGAGATCCGTAGGAGAACTAAAGTCACCGACATAGCTCGAAGAATAGCCCAGCTGAAGTGGCAGTGGGCGGGACACATAGAGAGGAGAACCGATGGCCGTTGGGGCGGGAAGGTTCTCGAATGGCGACCGCGTGCCGGACGACGCTCAGTGGGAAGACCCGCTACAAGGTGGACCGACGATCTGGTGAAGGTCGCGGGAAAACGCTGGATGCGGGCAGCGCAGGACCGATCGTTGTGGAGATCCTTGGGGGAGGCCTATGTCCAGCAGTGGTCGTCGTACGGCTGATATGATGAATACTTGAACGGCCGCCATGATGATGATCAAAAATATTTTTTTCTAGTAATGTTTTCTTCACATTCAAACATCCAGCAGTTACATGCTTAAAAAATAAAAATTATATCCTTAATTGATATTTCTTCTTTCAAATGTTTAATACTTGTAAAGGTATTCATTTGACATTGTGGGTTACCTACAATGCGAAGAGAGGGCGCTGGCTTGCAGCTTAAGAACCGCTAGAAAGAATTCGACATGGCCATCAGGGCCGCGGTAGCATAATGGTCGGTGCATTCGCCCGAATAGCGAAGGGTGTGGGTTCCAGTCCTGCCTGGTCCACGTGGATTTATTTATAGTAAAATTTTCTTTATATTTAAACAACGAGCAGGTATATGCTTAAAAAATTAAAATTATAATATTATTGATTTATTTATTTCAAGTAAAAAACACTCTTATACAAACTCGGTTCTTTCGCGTTTGTGCCAAACATACAATGATAAGTTTTCAAAAATCGATCTTTTTGCTTACTCCAAAATTTCATTTAAATCCAGAATTATTGATAACATTCTTGGCGATACTGTGTAACATTGGTACGTGGTTGTTTATGCATAAAATGTCTGTCATGTTATTTTATATTTGTTCTTGAGTGATTATCATTATGTAATTTTTATTTTTTACTTAGCAGCACTATTTAACTTTAAATCTTGAAAATATTTTAGGTGGTTGTGTGCAGTTACGTAGGGCAGGATATAATGTAGTAAAATGGTTAGCAATTCGTGGCCAATTAACTGTCAAGATTTGTTTTCATAGATACCCATATCGTTTGGAAGGCATTTTGTTGAGTTATAGAAGCTGAAATAGAATTGTTTTCACTATTGTTTGAAAGTATGGATTTCACCTAGCTTATGGCAATTGAATGTTTCTGACCGAAAACACAATATACTGTAAATTAATTTATGGAAAATCTGTAATTAGCCTTACTGTAGGTTTACACTATATTTAAATACTTTTGTAAACGCCGTTGATTTTCAAAAAAAAATTAAAAAAAAATCAATTTTAGAATGCATGCATACAAATCGATCTTAACTTCCATTAATTGTCAAAATTGAATATTTTGAAGGAACTCACCAATAATTGTGAGGTTGCTGCGGCTTCGATCCAGCACAAGCGGCGCAAGCTGTAGCATCAGAGTCGTTCACGAGAGTGCAACGAGTGCAAGACCAAGTCGCTGGACTAGAGGCCGGCGGTCCCGGGTTTGATTCTGCGTTACAAACTACCAACTTAGTCCTTTCACGAAACCAAAATATTTATTTATTAGGACCACCAGAGAAATATACATTAAATCTTATTTTTAAACATTATAGTGATACATACAAAATGCAAAATTCTATTGAAGGTAGCCACATCATGCTTAAGAGACAGTACGAACGGACCGAATTTTAATTAAATAAACAAACAGAAACACAAACTGAAACCACATGTAAATAATGAAGTTTATGAACTATTAGTGGCTTTGAATCTATAGACAATAGAAAACGAATATATATAATTATTCAATATAACAAATTTAACGACAAAAATAAAAATAAAGTTTGCCTACGAATCTCTTAATAACTCAGAAACTTTAGTCCTGAATCGTAGAAAAGAGTCATGGAAGATAACAACACTCTTACTCGGTTTGTTGTAAGCTTCGGGCAAGCGATATGATGCAGAGTGTGTAAATATGTTTGTGCGAGCGATTGGTTTGGTTAATGTTGGTAGAGGATAGCGTGGTGGTTTACGGGGAACTCTAATATTTAATTATAGACAGACATTGAAAGTTACCCTGGAAATTGAATAGTGCACTGATAATCGCCGTTTATACCTGATCGCGTGTTAGTCAGCAACGTAGGTGCCGCATTAAAAATGCTCTGTACGCAATCACGTGAATATTCTAATATATAATTAGAATAGTTTGCGAGTCCGAAATGTCAATGTCGAATTTAGTATGGAAACTTGAACAGCAGCGCCATAACGAACGTAACGAGAACTAAAAATTTGTACACATTTGACAATGACATTTCGGACTCGCAAACTATTCGAATTCGATATTGGTTTGTGCTAGGGGTACAGCACCGTACGCGCCGCATTTCGTAAAGGCTATTATAGGGAAACTTGCAAACCAGTGAACCAAATGTTCACCAAAACCTGATTTAAAAAAAATGTATTTAATTAATTGAGAACTTCGGAGATTTTGTGTGGTTTCGTTTGAAATTCGTGATTTCTCGAAAACCGGAAGTGCTACGTTACTCAAATCCGGTTTGTAGTCTTATCAGACTATTCTTAACTTATAACTTAAATATTCTCTTTATCTATCTCTTACGGTTTGGCCGCTGAAACAGCACCACAGACAGACGGACGGACGGACTTGTCTAATAGATAAGAGATGTGACGCGTTCGGTGCGTACGTTGCTGACAAATGTGCGATCAAGTACCCTTAGCACGAACCATTATCGAATTCGAATAGTTTGTAACCGAAATGTCAATGTCCTATAGTGTGTTCCTATAGAACTGATTTTTAGAACTACTTATGCCAAATAAACTAATACATTAATACAACAGTGGCGGACTAAGCCCATCAGAGGCCCGGGGCGGCAAAGCTGAGCTGAGGTCCTCAGCTTTAAAAAAAATAGTTTCTTATGTTTGTTTCGTTGAAATCAAGTGAAATTTAAATTCGAATTAAATTATTTCGGCTAAATAAACATAAATACCTAAAATATGGTGCATATTGACTAGAAACTACGGATTATAATTTGTAGGCTAAATTATTCAAAGAATTACTTACTTTTTTCAAAAACTCGAAAATGCATTTTCTCAACTCTGAACTCATTTACTTTTATACCGCAACAAAAATCAAACACACAGTTACACTTTTTAATAAAATTACTTTGAAAGGATAATATCGCGTTTATTATTTAACAATTTGAATAAAGTCTTATCCGTTCTCGGTACGCACTAATAAACTGTTAAATATAAACGTCAATACCTATATTTTAAATGAGGCCGATGTTTATTTTTCAACGTAAATATGTAATATGAATGTAGTGAATGCAAATGGATATATGTAAATATATCCAAACAATAGTGAATTATTTGCATTTCATTCATTCAGGGATTCCTGAGGAAGTACCCGCAACAAAAACGGGAATTCCCCCAGCGTATTGGACGCGTTCAGTTAAAAGAATATTAGTACCGCGTAAAAAGACTAGATGGCTGTAGTGTTTTCATCTTGATGAAATTATACCTACATACTACTAAGTACATTTTTAAAGTCTTGTTTAGCATTTGATCAGGGGAACGCGGAGGCATATGGGGGCCCCCCAAGATCGGAGGCCCGGGACGGGCTGCCCCTTCCGCCCCCCTGTTAGTCCGCCACTGACAAAGAATATAAAGACGAAGACGAAGTATACATCCAAAATTGACATGAATCACAACTTTTAATTTGGTCCTATATAATTATATCAGACTTATAAGCTTGATCCACAAGTTCATAAATAAGTCTGTTAGGAAGTAACTACCATTGCTTATTTAGCAGTCAACTTTGGTAACTCACCAACGGCAAAGAGTAATTCGTCACTATTCAAATCATGGTCCAACGATGCAATTGGTACTGTCAACTTCTTGGGTTCATTCCTGTTCAGTTCCGAAGACTTGCTGCCACCGGCCTCAGACGCGTTCGTTCTAGAACTGAGAACATGTAATAGAAAGTAGAGGCTATCCATCAATAGGGGTGATGACGGGGTACAGTAAACGAAATTCTATTTAGTCCGTCAGTTAGATGATCAAAAAATAATGGACACGCATTTTTTCTTTGGGCAATCAACCAAAAAATGACAAAGTTATAGAGCGTCAAAGTTTGGGAGTAGGGGCTCGTGACGTCACTTTTTGGTGAATATTCGCTTAAAAGTGTACTCAAACTTGACGTCATGCGACTTTTCAAATCAATATATCTCTGCAATGTTTATATTATGTGAAAAAAGAAAAAATACGTGTCCAATACTTTTTGATAATCTACCTGATGAACGAAGAAAAAAAATTAGTCATCATCCCTATTACGTCACACTTTAAGGGAAACGCGGCAATATGTGACAGACAGTGGCTTATAATCATAATCATTTATTTCGTAATAAATTACACGTCAATAATAAACAGAACAGAAATATATAAAGTACTAAGTAATCATTCAATTAATCCAAAATGTCAATTTACAATTCACATGTCGATTTCAAATTATATGCAAGTACATTACGGAGTCAAAACAATTAAAATACAATATTTTTACTTAAATAAAAAAACCAAATGTCAAATACAAATATGTCAAAATACAAATGTCAAATTGCAATAATAAAACAAAAACAACATATGAATTAAGAAATTAATAGTCATTCAATATTATAAAAAAAAAACAGTCTAATTAGGCTTATTAGGCAACCCAATCCTAAGTTTTATTACGTAGGTAATTTTCCAAAATCTATAATAACTAACGCCCGAACCTACGACAGCATATAAAGTCGCTGTGCGTGCTGTCTTATTCTTGAGGTATCTGAGTGAGCGCGTAATTTTTATAATGTAAAATTGCAAAATATGGGGGATAATAAATGAGAAGAGAGTTAGGATACAGTACCCTGGGGTTGTGATTGGGTACAATAACACCAGGGGACCTACCGCCTATCCGGATTACTCATACAGTACCCCGGGGTTGTGATTGGGTACAATAACACTAGGGGACCTACCGCCTATCAGGATTACTCATACAGTACCCCGGGGTTGTGATTGGGTACAATAACACCAGGGGACCTACCGCCTATCAGGATAACTTTGGCTATAGTTATAGCTTATGATTTCATTTTGTTATTTCTGACCGCCAAAGGTTTCCAAATACCTCGCGCTCATTTTCTTTTATATTGTTATTACAAATGCAAAAAGAGTGCGAGGCATTTTAAATCCTTCGCGATCAGAAATAACAAAATGTAATCATAAGCTATAGCAATAGCCAAAGCAAGCACGTTAGGCGGTAGGCATCCTGATGTGGCAGAGTAATTTACTGTTTACTTGTTTTTATTCATTTTTAAGCATTTAACTGCTAGATGTTTTAAATCTAAAGAAAAGTTTACTACAAAAAAATCCACGCGGACCAGGCAGCGGACGGGACTCGAACCCGCACCCTTCGCAATCCGGGCGAATGCACTGACCATTATGCTACCACGGCCCTATTAGCCGCGTCGAAATTTTCCTAGCCTTAAGCTGCAAGGTAGCGCCATCTCTTCGCATTGTTGGTAACCCACAATGTCAAATGATTTTTTCTAGTAAACTTTTCTTTAGATTACTGTTTACTGTTCAAAAAAAGGATAAATAAACACACATACAAACATGATGACATGAACCTACCTATTATGCGTCAACATATGATGCGTATCGCGCGTAGCTAAGTGTCGCTGCACACGGGCCACACGCCACAGCCACAAACGCCGCCACGAGAAGCTAGAAGCGGCTACTTAAGTGGCTGAAGCGCGAAACAGCGGTCGACTAAGGTAAGGGAGAGAGGGGTGGGGAATCACGCGAGTGACGTGTGGCGGCGTTTTGTATCGGCGCATTAAGTGGCCGGTGCGGGCCACAAGAAGCGAGCAACGACGATTTGTAGCGTGTGGCGGTCACCGGCGTACCGTGTGTGGCGAGTCCATGTAAAATGTATGAAAACTACAAGAAATATGCCGGTGGCGGCCGTTTTGTGGTTTTGGTCGGTGGCGACTGTGCGCCGACACTAAGGTAATGGACGCATGTGGCGGTCGACCGCTTCGACAATCAACCTACCTATTGTGCGTCAATAAATTGTACGTGGCCGTGGGTGAATTGTGCGTGGCTTACGTAACGGACGCGTGTGGCTACGACAAGACGTCGTCAGATATACATCTCTGAACCAGAACTAAAGCATAGAAAGTGTTTAAATTTAAATCACAGAGTCGACTGATATAGTATTTTTTTGAAGTTATACTTCTTTAGGCGAGTTATGAAAAAATGATGAGAGTGAAATTTTAAGATGCGCATCACTGTAACACAAATTATTAACAGCATGAAGTTAGTCGCTTTAGCGACCAACTTCATGCGTTACTTTTGTGTTTACCGCACATTAAGCAAATCTACCAACAATATAGAATCTCTATCTAGTGGGTGCTAACGACTGCATTGTGAAGGCCTATCAAAAGTATTTATTAATCTGGAACAACGGAACCAAAGCGCGATTCAGGAGACTACAGCGCCATCTCTTGACCATTGGTGTAGTAGAACCAAAAACCACATCTTTATTTTTTACATATAGACCAAAAATTGGACAGATATATGTTGCTATGAACAGAATGCGTAGTACCACTATAAAAACATCAAATACCTACTAAACCTTGGTTACCTTTAGGATACAGAATCAAAAAGCAATCTATAACGAAATGCAACCTGCCAACACGCCACTAATATTTTTTGGTTAGTCACTACTTTATTTTCGTTCATTTATTGTCTATGGGAGTGTATGCTCAAACGTCATAGCATTATATCTATGCTTTGGTTCCTGCACAGGTCCGCCATATAATTAAATTAGGTCGCATGTTCAACGGAGGAAGGGGATAAAATTTGCAAAATATGTGACATAACACTAGAATAATATTGTTTTTGAAGTTATACTTCTTTAGGCGCGTTATGAAAAAATGATGAGAGTGATATTTTAAGATGCGCGCGCATCACTGTAACACAAAATATACCGCACATTAAGAAAATCTACCAACAAAATAGAAATAGAATCTCTATTTAGTGGGTGCTAACGACTGCATTGTGAAGGCTTATCAAAAGTATTTATTAATCTGGAACAACGGAACCAAAGCGCGATTCAGGAGACTACAGCGCCATCTCTTGACCATTGGTGTAGTAGAACCAAAAACCACATCTTTATTTTTTGTAATAAAGTAACAGTTATAGGTATTCATATTTATAATATTTATCCACATGTTTCTAGTTTGTATATTCGAAATACATGTTTGAGTTTCATACAAGTGCAAATCACATATGTTCTAATAAATTATATTCAGTAGCGATTTTAATTGAATATTTTGATTATTTATTTATTTTTTCAAATTAAAACTGAACTTTATTGACTGTGTCCTTTTCCAGACTTTTTATTAATTTATTGTAATTAATTATTTGCATGCAATTAAAAACTAATTTTAAACGATGCCAAAGAAGGATAACTTCTCACGCGCCTACTTATGTACACGCACCCATTTTTTAATAAATTTACACCTACACACAAACATAACATCAACCTACCTATTATGCGTCAACATATGGTGCGTGGCCGCGGGCGTATCGCGCGTAGCTAAGGTGACGGACGCATGTGGCGGTCGACCGCTTCGACAAACGTCGCAAGCTCGGGCCCACCAAGCGTTGTAAGCGAACCAGCACTCGCTGCATTGCCACATGCGATTCTCGCGACTGGTGAAAAATATTACTCAATATTAGACCTAGGGGAGGTTGGATGGCGCAGTGGTTAGAGCAGTGTTTCCTAACCTTTCCAATACTGCTACCCCTGTAACCTATTAGGGAAACAGATTCTACCTCGACTTTAAAATGTTATCATCAGTCCAAGAAATTCCAATTTGGCCGCTACATCTTCGTATCTAATAATATCATCATCAGGAGAGAATCTCGCCCCGCTTCCCACACTCAGCACCCCGCGGGCTCACTAGCAAGAAGGAGCGCATGCTCTATTAAGTAGTATTATTTAGATTTGACCAAATAATTAGGTTCTTTCTTACCCCCGAAGTATGGCTGATTTACCCCCGGAGGGGTAATTACCCCCAGGTTCGGAACCCAGGGGTCAGAGCGTTCGGTCTGCGATCGTGGTAGCTACTGCGACAAAACAAACTTTACTATTTCAATCGAGAATAGCGACACTCGATCCTTTTAAGACTGTATTATTTTCATTTCTAACCACATAGTCATCGATACCTTTCTTTTTTGGCACGAGTATACAGTCATCATCATCATCGCTAGCCTATTAACACTGTTCTCACTGCTGGGTTCTCGACCTTGGTAGGAATAATAAGATCAGGCCTTGCATGACTAAAAAGAAAATCCAGTTTGGATTAATGTGTGAAAACGACTGCAGACGCAGCAGGGACCAACTATTTAACGTGCTGTACGAAGCAGAGAAGCTGCTTAACTTTAAAAGTTGCTTATCTTCCACGATCGCAGACATAATGCGTTAATTACTGTGCCATCAAGCAGCAGAAACTGGTCTTTGCATGGACAATCAGTGTGACATTATTTACCACAAGTTCCTTAATAATACAGTTCATTATATCATCATATGTGTAAATAAAACTAGTTTTTACGGGTTAATGCACGAAACTTTATTTATTTATTAACGTTTCGTAGCCTTTACAGGCTTCGTCGTCACAATAAAACTTTTATTTAATTTGTTGAGCTACCTTCGAAAGACTTTTATTGAGCGTTTGGTTATTTCATTGTTCGATTTTTAAGTTTTATTGTCTATGTATGAATTTATTATTTAATTTACTTAATAGAGTATTTTATTAAAATGATTTTTTGTAATTTTGAGTTTATTTATTTGACCCTTGACTACCGACTACCTTTGACTACCGTAAACTACCACCGGTTCCAAAATTGGGAGACCTTTCTGAGAAGAACCGGCGAAACAAACTCAAGAGAGGCTTTCTATCTCCTTCTTATGTTAAATTATGCAAACAAAAAGAACTAATAGTATCTGATGGTCTTGCAGTGTGTGCTCGGAGTTGGGATTTTATCTCCTGTATAATAGGTTCAAAAGCTGGTGGTATATACCTACCATCTTCCCTATTGAAATTTGGATATTTTTTAATCTCAATAGCCTCGCGCATCATTCGAGGAACGAACCGCCGTTCAGCTGCAAGGATCTGTGGTCTATCAAATCTAATGTAGTGGTTTGGTCCCCCTAATGCATGTTTATATATATACGTAAAAACTAGTTTTATTTAATGAGTGATGTGCGTGAAAACCTAAGAAACAAATATCATATGAGTAGTTTTAAAGGTAGAGACGATGTGGACTTACGAGGTCTGTTGCTGTGATGAAGGCACTTTAGACGTCTCGCGAGGATGCGACACCTTTCCGACAGATGGCAGCATGTTGTACACTTTAGCACTTTCCTTCGGCACCTGCGCACCTATATGTGAAGTCCTTATATTGCTCGCACCTACTGGCTCACTCACTGGCGAAATACAGTTCTCAGTACCTAACAACTCGTCGATTCTCGCGTAATCACCATCACCGATATCGTTCGAGTATAACGCCTCATTCTGAGAGTTACTCATGACGTTCTTCGTGTCCTGAACTGACACGTAAGAATACCGGGTCCCGTTATTATTAACCTGCAACTGCAGATTTAAATCCTTATATTTCCCCTTGTTCGGCAGAGCGTATATCACGCCCTCCGCGTTAGTGTCCCAACTGCATTCCTTATCAATCAACTCTGCACTACTCTCGTCTATCTTTTTATTCAACAAGTCTATTTTGTCCTCGGGCCTCGTCAAACTGCCGCAGTAGCTGGCCAGAGATTTTTGATAGTCGTTAAGACTGCGTCTGCTCGATATTACCTTGCCCACGGGTCTGTCGGCGTTTGTTTGCTCCGAAAACGATCTCCTGTAAGTGGGTCTGATTTCTGGAGAATTTTGTGCGCTTATGGATCTACGGAAGGAGCTGGCCAAAGTGCTGCTCTCAGTCTGAGGCCAGTCTGGCACTGTTATCATTACTCCACCAGTAGATGGAAGGGATGCCGCGCCGTCTCTTCCTGACAAAGTCTCGTGTCTGCCCAATGTTGTGACACTTAAACCTCTGGCATTGGGCATTCTAGCCAATGGCGATACTCTAGGTGACAAACATGCCTCGCAATGTGTTCTGATGCCCGAATTCTCAAGAGTACACTTACTGCACGCCCATTTCTTCAAATGTAACGCTTTACTTTGCTCCCTCTGATACTCTTTGACGTAGTTCAATTCCCAATTGGATTTGCTTTCGCTGCACTTCTTCGGTCTTCTGGTCACAGTGTGAAGGCTTCTTAGGAAAGATTCTCGTGGATTATACTGAGTATTGTAGCCGTATCTTTCCGAAACCATCAGACTAGTGGGTCTGTTGATTGTTCCTCTGGTCTCGTCAACCTTCCACCACTTCGGCTGGGAGTTTATAACAGAGCCGTGAGAAAGCGATCTGGTAACGCCGTGAGCGTGATCAGTCAACTGCGTAGGCGACAAGCGTAGTGATTGGAGATCCAGGTTCAAACGACGTCCATCTGAATAACTGGAAGTAGGCTTGAATGATGGGACTGCCAGGGTATTCGATCTTATCATAGTGTGATCTGAAAATAACATAAGAGGGTAATTCGTTAAATCGATACATAATAAGCTGTTATAGAGAAATATAATTATACTACCTTGGGCAGATTTATCTTTGTCCGTCATCCCTGGAGCTTGATCCTCATCATCAGACAGCCTGGAGACATGAAACAAATAAGATTTATTTGTGTATAGACTTTATATATGCAAAAAATACGACGTATACATTGTAAACTATGTATGGAATATGCAGCATCAGGAAACCATCACTTGCTTGCTATGAGAACAGATTTCATCAGCAAGGGAAACATACTTTTAACCTCATTCAAATATAATTGATATGTAAAGTTACAACATGAACAAGCCTATCTCCATTTTTTATTAACAAATACAATAAAGTCGCATTCCTGTGTACAATCTACTCTTGTTTGGTTTTAGTTAGAAAAGATTCTGAATTCATACAACTATCATATTAATCCATTGACATAACTTCGAGATCGGAAGTTCCTGTAGACGGGAGCATGCGGTGCGAGCGTGTCGCAGACCGCGTATCGCCACGCGGCATTTCGCTACGTTTCGCTAAACTATTCATACCATACTACATACTATTTACAGACTTTTATTCGCTTTTACTCAGAAAAAAATCAGTATGCATGACTCAATCGTGATAAATCCATCAAGGATATAGTGAATGGAGAGATGAAGTAATAGTTCGCTATGCGCTGCACCATCGCTTTCTGTCCTACTAGAGCAGTGGTCTTTAAACTTTTAGTGACGAGGGACTATTTGTAATAAAATGCGTCTTGCCACGGACCACCACTTGCGATTTGTTTCATTTCGTTAAGTAATATTTTTCTGAATGGCTTCGCGGACCACTTCGGGTGCTTCCAGGGATCACCAGTAATGGGGGGGTCATATAGTCGTGGTCAAGTCACAGTGGGTACAGATGGACCCAGCCCAGGGGGGGATCATGACCCCCATGACCCCCCTCTGGATCCGCCCTTGTTAAGAACCACTGTACAAGAGAGATATTAATTTCATGAGAAAGTCGGTCAGAACATTCTCTCTATGCTATCAATAAGGATAATTTATGCAAACCAATCAAATCAAATCAAAAATATATTTATTTTCCATCACAACAGAGATGCATAGTTAGTCTTGTATAGCAATTACAGTGTTGTGGCTCCTCTATTTGTGATGAACTGGTGCCTGAAATAGGTTTCAGCAATAGAAACCTGTGCTACAGGTAACCAGGCCCACTCACAGATAGCAAGACTTCCATGGATGGTACAATACCTTGGACAGTTGAAATCTACACATTTTTGTTTCAACAGCATTGAATAGAAGAAAACAAATAGATAGTAACAATAATCAAAGAAAAGCTATTCTATCTAAAAGGAAGCTAGAAAATTATCCAGTTTGAAAAAATAAAAATAATAATAAACGATGTGGTTTCGTGGGACACCAGGTAGGAACGAAGTTCCTTCGGCTAATGTAGAATCGACACAAATTGCAAAAAAAAACGTGGCTACTCACGAGTAAAATGTATCTATAATGTGAGTATTCGCCACGTGCTTGTCCATGAATTCATGAGTATATACTATGCATTGGCGGGGTGGAGTGGTAATAGAAAGAGAAGGGATGAGAGAACGAAAAGAAAGAGGGAGAAAGAGAAAGGTATTATACACTACTCGCTTGTGTATGCGACTATCGCGCCTGCGCACGTCTCATTTAACGGTTTTATTCCACGCACTTTTTTCCACGGATTTTTTCTTACGGTTTTACTATCACATTTTTTTCAGTTCGGTCGCGCAGCAAAATCCCTATCCCCTCCAAGCCTGCCGTAAGGAACTTCGTTCCAATAACCAAATCAAGCATAAGGCCTGCCTGCTGGTGAGCGGCCACCGTAGTATATAGACGCTTGCGACACTAAAAATACCACTCGCAATTCTGGCTACCCTTAGCACAACTTTTAAACCTGTAGACGGGAGCATGCGGCGCGAGGGCGTCACAGGCAGCGCATCGCCACGCAGCAGACACGTTCCGTAGGCCGCAACCGCAGCGCCAAGCTCGACTCGCGTCCGGCGCAGAGCCAACGCAAGACCATCCGCTGGAACAAGGACAACGATTTAAGGGCGTGAGCTGCATTAATAATAATAATACTAGCAAACCAGTGAACCAAATGTTCACCAAAACCTGATTAAAAAAAAATGTATTTAATTAATTGAGAACTTCGGAGATTTTGTGTGGTCTCGTTTGAAATTCGTGATTTCTCGAAAACCGGAAGTGCTACGTTACTCAAATCCGGTTTGTAGTCTTATCAGACTATTCTTAACTTATAACTTAAACATTCTCTTTATCTATCTCTTACGGTTTGGCCGCTGAAACAGCACCACAGACGGACGGACGTACGGACTTGTCTAATAGATAAGAGATACTTTTATTTCAGACACAAGATCCATTCCTACAATTTACAAATTAATTCAGCAATTCCAATTTATAATTATATTAAAATTATATATACACAGCTAAGTCAAATTACCACATTCACAAATACAAAAACAAATAACATAAGATCATATCATGATTCAGGATGCTAATTGCCATGCCCATCGTTTATACATATTTGTATTGAAAATTCTCTCCGCCAGACCTGATATAATAGAGTTTCTACACTCCTCAACCCTGGACAGAAATTTAGCGATGCGGTTTCTTTGAATGGCATTAAATGAGTTTATTCTAGCCTCAAAGTACATTTTTGAAGCGCTACAACAACGCTCCAATTAAGCGGGAACTCGGAGAGGACGTCCGCTACGCGTGCAGTTTCATGTTCCAATCGCGGTCACCTATCCCAAACTCAACCAATCGTAAACAACCTTTTCTTTTTTACAACGCAAGTAAAAAATCTTTTTACAGACGACGGCGCCTTTAAGAGGCACACCGCCGAACGGACCTCACACCTGGCTCCCCCCAGTGGCTGACCACTGAGGACCCCACAACTCTTACGGGCGCTTTATACGGCATAATATCCGCTAAAAAGTCTTACGAATACATTCTACACTACTTTATGCGAAGCCGCGGGGTCCCCGTTTAGGGATTCTTCCGCGACTCCGCACCCAGCAGCCCGAGGTATTACGGGGACCCCGCAGACGTAATCGTAAACCACCTGCATATCATTAATAATCGCGGTCACCTATCCCATACCCAACCAATCGTAAACAACCTGCATATTATTAATAATCGCGGTCACCCATCCTAAACCTGACCAATTATAAACACTCTGCACTTTCAGAATATCGAAAAAAATAATTACACCAAAACTGTCATTAATTCATAGTTCTTGATGAACATTGAAGAAACATGAATGCAAGTAAGATCAATCGGAAAATGATGACGATGAATTTGATTATTGGAAGAACAGCAGCCGTCTTTAGGTTTGTGGCCTATCGGTTTTGTTATCGCAAAACAGGCACAGCGGACTGGCAATATTGCTAACATGTTTCGATTCCAAAAGTATCTTTATCTTAAAAAAAAGTATTTTGAAAATACATATCTTGTATCTGGTATTTCAAATACTTTTTCCAAAAGTACCTATATTTAGATACTTTTTAAATGTATTTTTTACAACTCTAGAAACAATATACATTTTCAGCAAAATTAATACAGTCTTTTAGTTTCAGATTAGAATTACTCCAGTACACTTTTTTGGAGATTTATCAAAGTAAGTATTTACATGGGTATGTCTGGTCTATAAGTTTTGTCACCTATGGAATGTTAAATTAATGACACAATGAGTTACTAGGGTGTCCACTACTAATTTTCAAAAAAAATCCGTCTTTTCCCTGGCCATATTTACAAATTCCACTGACTGACTTTACACATTTATACATTTTACTGAAAAAAAATATATATTTTTTTAGAAGAGGCACATAAAATTTTTGAAGACTTAGGTAGGTACTGAACCATATTAAAAAAAAACATTTGGGCTATGACTGAGTTCAACTGGTAATTACATAAAATCATGGTATTCTTTTGCCACTATTTGCCAGTTCCGCTTAATAGGGATGATGACTAATTTTTTTTTCTTCGTTTATCAGGTAGATTATCAAAAAGTATGGGACACATATTTTTTCTTTTTTCACATAATATAAACATTGCAGAGATATGTTGATTTGAAAAGTCGCATGACGTCACGTTTGAGTACACTTATAAGGGAAAATTCACTCAAAAGTGACGTCACGAGCCCCTACTCCCAAACTTTGACGCGCTCTAACTTTGTCATTTTTTGGTTGATTGCCCAAAGAAAAAATACGTGTCCATTATTTTTAGATCATCTAACTGACGGACTAAATAGAATTTCGTTTACTGTACCCCGTGATCACCCCTATTCTTAAGGAACAATCTTTGCTGAAGAAAGTTTTACTGGTACAATTATGAATTAATTCGGAACTTCAAGCCAAGTAAAGGACAGTCTTTATTGGAAACATAGTTACATTGAATTTACAAATGAAACTAATATCAAAAGAAAACTCAATTTTTATAAGAAAATTTTTTTTTTCTTATAAAAATTGAGTTTAAATAACCTTTTTATTTAAACTCAATTTTTATAAGAAAAAAAAAATTCCAAATGTTCCAAAACTGAAATTGAATTTCATGATCTTCTATTTATTTCAGGTGCTATGTTAAGTATTAGATGTACATGATCGAGTCTTTCAATCAATCCACTAATATAACTGGTAATTTATTTCTCACATTTAGCAGGTTTGACTGCCGGTATAGATTGGAATTTCTAATATCCCGTCAACTGTGTAAGCCTCTTATGATTTTTCTGTAATTATTCGATTTATGTCTTAAATCAATCTTGAATAGTTTCTCTACAAACATAATAATAATATAATATATTAGGTGTAAATTAAAAACCTTTACTAAATGTAATAAAACACAAAATATGAAAATATTTTCTCAACTCGTGACAGAAATCTGCCATTTACATAGATAGACCAGGAGATATTTTTTAAATGAAGTTAGTTTGGTTATAAAACTTTCTACCTACAGTTTTTAAGGTTTATTCCCCCATATGGTAAAGTTTTGGGACATAAATCAATTTAATGTTATTTAGATTTTAAGTAAATAAAAAACAAAACAAATTAATCAAAATTACAACTTTTTTCATTTATCATTTAGGTAATAATCAATGGTGTCAATTCTGACATGATTCTCTAAACTTAAAACAAAATTTAAGGTCAGTCTCACCTTTTCATTCTGTATAGAGAAGGACAAGGATGCACTGTTGTCAAATTTAAGTTAAGCTTTAGAGAATCATGCCAGAATCGACATCATTGTTAACCTAAATGAAATTGATTGAGTAAAACTATTGAAAAATTATGTAGAACAAAAATGACACAAAACATTCTTCTCATTTTGTAGTTGCAATAGTCCCGCATGGAACTCAACATTTACTTGGGATTAAATAGTTTCAGTAGTTCCAGTGTAAGAAATGTCGGCCATAAAACTAGTTTTAAATTACATGGAACTAATGGTACTAAATATTCATTTTCAAAATTACAGTAGTTACATGTGGAACTGACTAAATTGAAGTACTTTGAATAAAGGCAAAAAAAGAATGTCCCAAATGACACATGAAGGTCAGCACCAACACTTACACTTACCATCACACTTACACTTCTTGTCATAAGTGTTAAAGTGTTATTCTTCTTCTTTACATCTTTAGGTGTATTTAACATAATTAATTAAGATAAATAATAGGTTCTTTATTTTATTAAAAAATATTTTTGCAAATTTAAACATTGGCCACAGTCCAATTCTATTTCAATGAGAAGCAATGAAGATTTTACTGAGTCAATTACAAAAACACAACAGACAAAAAAACACAAAGAATGAGCGAGCATCAACCACAAAATTTGTAATTTCTGTTCATGTTAGTGTATCTGAAAGTGTGTTCATTAGGAAACACTTACCCCTAACTTATTAATCAACTGTTTTGCTTGTATGAACTACTACAATGAACATTCAATTATGTTCCTGCACTCAATAATGTAAGCTGATAGGAATATCACCAATATAAGCTGGTGCAAAGGATTCTTACAAGATTGATAAGTTTACACTATGAAAATTGGAACTACCTAAAATACTATTTCTGATTTGAACACAACTGACTAGGAAGACATACCTGTATTCATATTTGACAATAGTTACATTTCATCAAATTACTGACACGCATGGACAACAAAAACCGTGTCCACATACAATTTCGTTAATGAACTTCGCTAAGCGTTCACGCAACAATAAAATACAATGGAAATATAACCTAAAATGAGGTCAGGAAAAATCGATATCCCGAATGACAGAAGCAACAACGAACCGACTCCTGACGACAGCAAACTCACCTATTCAAATTATTTTCCGCGGGTATGACAATTGGCTCCGAGCCCGGCGTAGTTCCCTCGCTTTTTCCAGTCCTAGAAGTATGTTCAGGTGAAGAATCTCCTCTGATAAACGCTTTTGATTGCTCACTGTCATGACCAGACACCCTTTTTGTTCCACATTTTAGACACTTTACGCTCTCTGTTGGGTTGATTTGCCCACATGTCTGACAATGCCATTGCAGCACCGATGCGATGGAGCCCATTTTAATTCACACATGGCTATGAAACCATAACAGTACGCCGTTTTACGTAAACAATTTTCGGTCTGAGAAAAATGAAAACAGCTGATCCACCATGTTGTTTGAAATTGTTTGTATAAACTTTTTTTTACTAATGGCAGAGTTATAAGGAAGTATACAGCTTTAAGTTTGAGACATTATTTTTATTTTTCTGTTTATATAAGATATTATATTATAATTTCGTAATTATTAAAAACAAATTAGGTATCTATTTCGTGAAAAAAAACATTCAAAATGAAGTGAATTTTATAGTAGCGTCGCCATCTACCGATAAAGATTAGAAGCGACGTCATGAGTGAACAGAGGTAGTTCCCCATGATAATGATAGATGGCGCTAAGTTTAACTTTCAACATTGGTATTGGTACAAGAGGAAATAATTTTATACTACACTTGCTCGGAAAGTGTTTTCTTCTTGTTTTGGGTCAATCTAATGAAAGGGTTCAATGTGAAGGTTTCAAAACATATTTTAAAAATATTTTTTTATGTTAAATCACAGTAATATTATGAAAGCTAAGGTTTGTGAGTGTGTGAGTGTGTATGTTTGTTACTTCTATTTACTATATACAATATTAGTCTATGGTTACTTCTTCACGTCTAAACGGCTGGAGCGATTTTAATAAAATTTGATATGGAGTTTGCTGACATCCTGGATTAACACCTATTTACCGCTTAGGATCTCGAACTTCTCTTAGGGATGTATATAAAAAAATAGGTATAATGACTGTTGCCTCTCAATACATCAACCAATTGACGACACTGTATGAAACAAAACAGGGAGAAAAAAATAGCCCTTGCTGAGTTTCTTGCCGGTTCTTCTCGGTACAAGGTCTCCCGCCGTAGATTTACGAACCGATGGCGTAGCGTTTGACTTTCACAAGAACTTGTAACAGCCTAGACTGAATAAATGAGTTTGAGTTTTGGGTTTGGGCCCCCAAGAGACAAAAAAACTCCCTCGATAGTAATTAAAATTAAAAAGATATATAAGGGGGAGCTCACAAACAACGGACATGATTTGCAATTTTTTGCTTGATACATATTTTATAATAATTATCGAGCGAAAATGGCAAATAACTATTCATATATAAAGAACTAAATTATTATAGTGTCTAATGTTGTATAGATAATGGTACGAAACCCTTCGTGCACGAGTCCGACTCGCACTTGACCTTTTTTTTTTGTTTGGTGTCTTAGAGCATATACTAGCAAACCAGTGAACCAAATGTTCACCAAAACCTGATTCAAAAAAAAAATGTATTTAATTAATTGAGAACTTCGAAGATTTTGTGTGGTTTCAATAGAAATAGAATTTCTATTTAGTGGGTGCTAACGACTGCATTGTGAAGGCCTATCAAAAGTATTTATTAATCTGGAACAACGGAACCAAAGCGCGATTCAGGAGACTACAGCGCCATCTCTTGACCATTGGTGTAGTAGAACCAAAAACCACATATTTCTTTTTTGTAATTAAGTAACAGTTATAGGTATTCATATTTATAATATTTATCCACATGTTTCTAGTTTGTATATTCGGATTACGTGTTTGAGTTTCATACAAGTGCAAATCACATATGTTCTAATAAATTATATTCAGTAGCGATTTTAATTGAATATTTTGATTATTTATTTATTTTTTCAAATTAAAACTGAACTTTATTGACTGTGTCCTTTTCCAGACTTTTTATTAATTTATTGTAATTAATTATTTGCATGCAATTAAAAACTAATTTTAAACGATGCCAAAGAAGGATAACTTCTCACGCGCCTACATAAGTACACGCACCCATTTTTTATTATTTTTGGAAAACAAAGGTCTCAGCTAAGTCGGCATAGTTTTTACCAAATTTAACTTTAGTGAAAGTTTTGTTAGTCTAAAATCACTGTCATTTTGAGTAAGTAGGTGTTGATTCATATAACAAAAACACGTCCTCAGATAACAGAACCTAAGGTTTTGTTCTATAAATCAGAGAACACGTCATAAATAAAATAGATTAGAATTCTGATTTCATTTCACAATCTCTACCTTGTAACAATTCCTTTCGCCAAAATGAGCGGATACCTAACTAAGCTCTACAAAAAGCCTTCAAAATCTCATACAACATTATTTTGTTAAAGCAACATCGCGTTTTTTTTTTCAGATTGTACGGTTGAATTCGGACAATCAATCTTGATCGTTGCCACGCGGGGCTGAGCTTTTTGCACTACTTTTTGTTGTTGGACTAATCTATCTTGATCCTTGCATTGGGCATGAATAGCACCTGTGGATTTATCGTTAGCTATTCAATGCGGAAAAATTGAACCTAAATATAAAGGAGAACAGAGTTCGAAATGCTCTCGTGAAAAATCTGCGAAAGTTCATGTAAAATGAATCTTCTGTCGAGGAAATGATATTCATCTTCATATATCACAATTTGTTTGTTATTCCTAAAAGCGATAGTTTGGGTTTATATCATTTTTGTTTTAAGTAGTTATTATTTCATATTTTTAGTCAAGTAGGTAGGTAAGTAGGCAAGGTATTATATTATATTTGTATAGTTAAGCTATTTCATCATCATAAGCCGTAAAGGCTTAGCATAGGCCCGAGCAATGAAAATTGTTTTGATTATACATTATTAAGTGTGTAATAGCTACTATACAGGGCGTCCCACGGCTACCTCACACGGAGGGAAAGTATATTAAATATTGAAGATAGGACATTTTACTGAAAGAAGACATCATTTTATTTTTAATAATAACAAGAACTGCATTCACAGATTTTTTAAAAATCGTCTTCTACAATTGGGAACCAAAATCGTGAAATTTCGAAAAAAAAACACGACATATTTTATGATAACTACCGAAAGGGTTAATCATAAGGATTATTTTTTGCTTAATAACATGCAATTTTAAATGTAAGAAAAGTAATTAAATTTAACATTTTATTTAAAATTATTTAACACAATTAATATAAAAACGAAACGGTGTAAGAAAAAAAAAATAATTTAATTTATCAAATGTTTAAAATGTGATCCATTTTGTTGTATGCAAATTCTCACTCTTTTAAAAATTTCCCGCTTCAATTTTGTTATAAACTGAGAATTTTTACTAAATGTTTGATTCTATTTTTCTTCTTTGATCGATTTTGCCCAATCTTTGCCATATTATCATAATGTGACGCGACAGAAAATATAAATTACGTAAAACAAAGTTATATCTACACATAATTTGACACATTTCCCAAGCATAAGGTCTGATATGCATATGTAACAGATGTCCGTAGTAAATTGTCACATAATCACATAAGAAACTCTTAAATAACGAAATATAAGCCGTAAATGTAGTTTTTTTTAAACAATAAATGCGTCATAATTTGCTTCTTAATGCTTTATATGATTAGTAAAAAAATTCAAATAATAGAAAAATACCAATACAAGTTACAGCATATTTTACATTTTACAAACTTAAAATCGCTCTACTGTAAAGTTGTGATTATGCAGAAGTAGCTTTATTCTATGGATAGGTCGAATTATTTTATTTTGATACGCCATGGTAAGTAAATTAATAACATTTTGCAAATAAATGAAAATGAAACTCACAAAAAACAAAAGAACAGACGCTTGAAAATTTATGTATTCCAAATTCGAATTTCAATATTTTCACTAATTTCAGTCAATCGCATTGTATCTGTGAGTTCAAAAAGAAATGCATACGTATAACAGTTTGTATAACACTTTATTATTATTATCACGTAATAAGACATTCCTTTCATATATGCTATGTTATTTAGCAAAAAATAATCCTTATAATTAACCCTTTCAATGGTTATCATAAAATGTCGTGTTTTTTTTTCGGAATTTCACGAGTTTGATTTCCAGTTGTAGCAGGCGATTTAAAAAAAAATCTGTGAATGCAGTTTTAGTTATTATTAAAAATGAAATGATGTCTTCTTTCAGTAAAATATCCTAATAATATACTTTCCCTCCGTGTGAGGTAGCCGTGGGACGCCCTGTATATTATTCTGAATAATTATTTTCTAAATAAAGTCATAATCACAGCAATTTATATTGTTATTTTTTTTGCTAAATCAAAAACATCTAGAGACTTGGGTAACTGCATTAAGTACTTATAATACAACTTTTTTTTGTATCTGGAAAATGCCTTACGCATCCTTCAGCCACTGGGGGAGCGAGAAGAAGGTATGTGGGACTCCTCCCTGTCCTCTCTTCAGCCAGCTCTGAAGCTCGTTGATGTGAACAGGGCCCTACCTACGCCCTGAACAGGGCCACTAAAAACCAGACAATACTCCTGCACCGTCACCCGACACGCACCATGAGGACCGCGGTCCCCCTAGTGCCTGGGTTCCGAACCTGGGGGTAATTACCCCTCCGGGGATAAATCAGCCATACTTAGGGGGTAAGAAAGAACCTAATAATTTGCTCGAATCTAAATAATAACAAAATACTATATAATAATACTACTAAATAGAGCATGCGCCTTCTTGCTAGCGAGCCCGCGGGGTGTTGAGTGTGGGAAGCGGGGCGAGATTTCTCCTGATGATGACATTATCATCAGGAGAATTTCTTGGACTGATGATAACATTTTAAAGACGGGGTAAAATCTGTTTTCCTTTTAGGTGACAGGGGTTAGAGAGGGCGGGTGAGGTCGCGGAACCCGTCTCCGAATGGCCGCGCACACTTATAATACAACCTATAGTATACGTTTACAGTATTTATCAAATAGACGTTTTTATGAAAATCGACAAAATATAGTAATTTATGGGATCCGAATTCAAAGCTTTACGTTAATATGTAGTAAGAAAGGGTCAAACATCCATTTATATAAAAGGGGGCGTCCATAAATTACGTGAGATATTTAAGGGGGGGAGGGGGTCGAGTCAAATCTCATCTAATCTTACGTTGGAGAGTGGGGGGGGGAGGTGGGATTGAAACAAAAAAAATACTATTTTGGTCCATTTAATCCAGATTGTACACGCTTAAGATTTAATCTTTAGCGTAAGTAGATATTCTTTTTTTAATCGCAGTAGTTACGATTTAAGTATTCTATTGTTAAATTTTTATTACACTTATAACTTTCAGCAATATTGATTACTAGTCTTAACTAGTCGTAAATGAAAGCA